TACACGAAATTTATACATCCAGCGAAGAAATAGAAAACATCTTTCTGCAATAATTGCATTTGCGTGCTTTATGAATCCTATATTTGCACTTAAGGCTTTATATTATATAAATATCTCGATAAGGACCCCAAACTTCACTGCTTTATTTTATGAGAAGCTAACAAAAAAAAAAAGTAGATTAATATTTTATTATTTTTTCAGATTTATTTGTTTTTCTTGTGTCGGATGATGTATGTCTCATGTTTGTTATTGATTAATCGGATGTTAATTATAATACGTAGGAGCTTCTAACGTTTTTTTTATAAAACTACAAAATAGATAAATATAAAGACTGTGAAAATGAATATTTTCAAAATCCAATCAAAAGGTAAATCAGATGGATTTTTTGTATTGATGATCAGATTGGGTATAATAATTATAAAAATCTTATTTAAAAAACAACTAGTTGCTTAGTTTTTAGTTAACTACTATCAATTTGATAACTCCGATATTTTTCTAGATATTGATTTACTATCTTAAAATAATCAAGATACAGTTCACTAAAAATTGATTGCTATGAAATCATAGTTGATTAAATACTAATAACTTAATGTTATTTCAGGTGAAAATTTGTTTTTTCCTCCGATATTTTTTTATTTCTTTAATATTTTATTTTATTTTTAATTCTTGATTCTTATATATTTGTTTACATCTCTATTTAATTTTTTATTTTGACATAAAAATTAATATTTTTTGAGATTTAGTTTGGTCAAAATGTTTTGTAAATTTGCAGATTATCCAAAAAAAAAATTCACATTCTAAAATAAAAATATAATTAATAGTAGAAATGTTAAATAAGCCATATGGAAGCTTCTCTCATTGTTCCATGACCCAAAACATTGATATTCGCGTTCTGTAAATAAGCAATACAATCTCATTGGCCTAAATTGAAAAAGAACAAAGATATGAGAAAAAATTGAGATAAACAGAAAATAAAAGGTGCTATTTGTGGAAACAGTAAAATGAAAGAAGCAAGTAGAGAGGGTGATATGAATCCATTATATATAATGAATCAGATCAGACGCCTTTGTCTGTTGACTTCCTCCTCGTCTTGTTAAAATATCCTTTTTTATTTACAAACAAATTATGTACATTTCCATATAGATAATATACTTAATAATATTATTATTTTTTATCGATCATCAGAACAATTGATTCGCATTCAAATGTATACAAGTTAATCCGCATATGTGTTATTACATTTTTGAAATTATTATAATGTTTAAATGAAAATAAACATTGCATAAAAATATCAAAGAAACGACAAGAAACGAGAAACGGTCAAAGACTTTGGTGGACGCGCTTACTTAGGGATCTTGTTTTTGTTGGTTCATTTAATGTGTGATTCGCACACATTCCATGACTTGACCTCTACATTTACATTATATTATTATCATTATTATTATTTTTATTTTGTCTATCCATGTTGGACCTAACGCGATTTCCATCTATTTTTTCATGACTACGGATCTCAAAAGTTATCATTTTGTTACAACTGAGAAAATTCAATAAATCTATGAGGAAAAATATTACAGATTTTATTACAAAAATAGTCTTTTCCGTACAACTAACTACAGGTTTCACCGGAAATACTTTGGTATTTTCATATGTATACCCTAAACCAAAACTGTAAACTACAAAAGTCAAATAGACAAAATCTCTTTCAGTTTCTCACAAGCCATAGAAAATCATTTGATAGCTCCAAGAACACAGGGCTGGTTCTTGTACGTACGTACGTACGTAATGTATGTATGTATGTATGTATGATCTCTGTTTTATAAATCCATAAACTAGTTTTTTATGTTATAATTCTCTTATAATCTTCGAACCCAATTGATTTGAGGGAACAAAAAAAGTTGATATTGCAATTCTATCAATTTTCATATCTCAAATTTCAATAATTAAACCCTTTACTCATAGGTTTTCCATGGATGTATATGCACAGATTTGTTTTTTTTTTTCTCTTTTTTGTGTAATGAAACAAAGCTGTGATTTTCTTAAACTTGGGCCTATTTCTGTCACAGTCCGGCCCATAATTAAATTAATGGGCCTAATTTGAGCCCACACGTACACTACAAGAGGAGGTATTAATAATAAGCCGATGCCCTCCTTGTCACTGTCATCTTCCTTTCGCCCTCGCTGCTTCTTCTCCTACTGCAGAGAGAGAGAGAGAGATGAGATTGTTAGCGCACAACATGCTGTCGTGCAACATAAAGGGAGTGACGAATGGATTTCCTCTTCGGATCGAGGCCGAGAAGGTGATAGAGAAGGAGGTCGACTTCAACCCTGATTTCCTCAGGCACATGTTCGCCAAAATCGATTGGAAGGCTCTCGTCGAGGCGGCGCGTTCCTTGGGCTACGCAGAACTTCCGGAGACGGCGCCAGATGCGGCGGCGCTGGATTCCGACGATCCCTTTCTCCGGCGGTTCCACCACGCGTTGCTTGAGCTCCACCTCGAGGAAGGCGCCCTCGTCTGCCCGGAGACCGGACGGAAGTTTCCGATCAACAAAGGAATCCCCAACATGCTTCTCCACGAGGACGAGGTTTGATTCGGATGTTGTTATTGTCCTTGTAAGTTTCCCTGTCTAGGGTTTAGGGAGGTCGGGCATGGCTAGGGTTTTTGGGACCCTGCTGATGTTGGTGTTGTTAAACCATTGATGAGATGCAATACAATGCGATTTTCTCGAAACAGGTTGTTCCATTTCATCTTTTCTGGGTCCTTGTCGGATCCTAAGCTCTGTGTTAGACGATTTTCATGACAGAAAATCGAATTTGGGTCTGCCAAAGTTGCTTGCTAAACATCAAACTTTGCCCTGATTTCGGGAATTCAGAAGATATTAACTTGGAAAGACGGTGGTTCTTCTGGAGATCTTATTTACCATTTGCCAAAAGACTGTACCATCTGAGCTTTGAGCTGTGAATGATCCTCTTTAACATAATTTCTTCCGATTAAAAAATCTCTCGAATCCGGAGATGTTACTCCATGTTTAAATTTGCAGACTTGTCATTCTACTTTGAGAACAATCTTCATACACTCGTAGACAAAGTAACTTATTGCAGCTGAGGGCAATACCTGGAAGACAAAAACAGGCGAAATGGAGCCAGTCAAGATACCGAAAACAGAACCATGTGGAGTTCAGAGCTGTTTTGCAAGAAGAATTGTTATCCAAACCTGGAGCAAGCTCGGTAAAAGTCCAGCGTACAATGCCGGGATCCCTCCTCTCTCGATGATCTTCAAGCCCGTGGCTAAAGTGCCAAGCTGGTTTCTACCTGCCTGCAGCTGGAGCTGTCGTCTCACCACTTCAAAGGGGTACGTGGTTGCTTCAGCACAAGCTCCGGCTATGGCTCCGTACAAGAATGTCCTGATCGGTCCTAACTCGAGTCGGTCCAGAGCATTGAGCTCCTGTCCCTGCTGCTTCATGTCGTGAAGTCTTTTCTGACCCTCTGGTGAATGAAGATAGGCTGACTTAAGAATGTCGTAGACACTATAGAACACTGCACCCGATGGAGCCATGCTTGCGATGGACGGGACTAGACCCTTGTAGAGGGACAAGACTCCTTCGGTTTGGATCATATAACGGAAAGCCCCTGCGATTCCTCCTAAGGCTTCTCCACCCCGAGCCACTAGTTTGGTTCGAACCTAATGAGTAAGAGAACAAGTTATGGTGAAATCCAGACAGGAGAAGGGAGAAGACATAGTACAATCAATTTCTGCAGCTCCTCAAGTCACAGCCTTGCCCTAAACTATGCTCTCCGGTATGCTTAATTCTATCTTCTGAAGAAAACCCTCCCCATATATATTAGTCATGACATGGGCATGTGGATCAAGGAAAGAAAAGGCAAAACATACAGTGTCAAGTGGCAAGCAGAGGACAGTGGCAGTGATTCCGGCAGCAGCTCCGGCTATGAATCTCTCGAAATTCGTGGCTTCTTTATTCCCAGTGACTCTGAGCAATTGCTTTCTGTAAGAATCGTATGCGCAAAAGTTGATGGCTTTGAAAGGAGCTGTTCTGAGAATGTTGAGCAAATTCCCCTTCCAGAAACCTCTCAATCCCTGAGTCGTCGCTATCGACGTGACGAGCTCGATCAGATTCCTCTCTTCACCTCGAACTATGTATTCCAGCTTTAGCCGCTCTAATGGCGCAACGATAGTTCTGAACATCAACAAAAACACCAAACCCAATTCTCATTTACAACCATTACTGCGGCATTTCATCGAACGACTTGTGGGCAATACCTGGAAACCATAGCCGCGATGGCCCCCGCCCATAGATGTTTGCTGGTGTTCATGGCGGGGGGGCTTCTCCTCGCTCTACCGCCCCGCTCTACCGACGCCAACACGTCGTTTCCCACTTCCCTCACTGCACTTCCCGCCGTTTTCCGTCAGACCCTCCTTCTCAAACCCGTCGTTTCTCAAGCTCACCGACATGAACGAGCAGTTGCCGGAGCCGACACCGGTCCTCCTCTCTCCCCGGTGACTCCCAAAACGCAGCGTATTATCAGAGGCGGCGGATTTCGAGGAGAATGAGTCGAAGAAGGAAGGTGACAAGCCGGGTGGCTCGAGAAACAAACCGCCACTACCAAAGAAAGCTTCATAGACTCCATCGCTAGAGGAGGAAGGAGAATCGTGGGCATGGAAATGGAGTCCTTGCATTTCGATGATGAACAACAATGGATAGAAATTAGATCCATATTGGGTTTGGTGGTTTTGGTCCGGCCGGTATGCAACCCCAAGTGCCGATCCGGTTAGGGCCCTGTAACCGAACCGATCTTATGTTCGGTTCACTTTGACCGACCGATTTACCCTGTCTACTGTAGAGTGCACGCGCCAATGCAGCGCGTGGATCCTTTCGAGGAGATGGTCGTTGGCCGCTTATAAATATCGCAAATCTCGCGCGCTCAGCTTCATTTTCATCGATTTTGTTCTGACGATCTCCATCTCCAATCTCGAGATGCAGAAGTTAGGGTTTTTCCATTGATGAAGAGCTTCGATCAGCTTTCGATCGGTCCTTCTTCCTCGCGTCAGCCTCAAAGCTTGGACCTCCTCAGGAAGCTTTGTGAAACTGAAGATTACTGCAGGTTTCTGATTTTTTTTTTCGTTTTATTTCTCCTCTTCCACATCTGAATTCGTACGATTTTGATGATCACATTCGGTTTTTCCTTTCGTCATTCAGATAAAAAAAAAAAACTGGTGAAGGAGCAGGTTTTCATGAGAAGAGGTCCCGAACTGGCGATATTTGAGTTCAGGATTGGTCTAGTTCTCTTCGACAAAGACTCTGTGAAAAAACAAATATTACCGAGACTCTACATCACTTGCCCATTGGCCATTGCTAGGGATAGATGCAGGTTTGATCCCCTTAACTTTGATGCTTTATCTGCGATGGACAATGATCATTTTGAGAGCTAAATTCCTGCTAGTTCGGAAGCCATAGTCTCCTCAAACAGGAAAATGCATGACGTTATGCTTAGATGAGGGTTAATTTCTTTTCCGGGCCATTAGATCAAGAATTCTTGCGTTTGGATATTCGACCGACCACCTGAGAATTCCCTTAGGATCTCACCATTCATTCTTACGATAAGTTTCAGTGTTTTGTATGCATTTCGGACCCCACTCTCCATGCATTTAGATAAGGCGACGACTTGTAGAATGAACAGAGGAAGAAGAGTAATTTCTGGGACCAATCTACACCCAACAGTTAGAACTTATTTGTAAAATGCTTTCTCTGTAACATCAATATCTCACCTGACTTGTGGATACATATGACTGTTCGATGCAGATACGAATAGTCTGGGAGATCCAAAGTGTGAGCACATTAAGGTAAAAACTGTTTGCAAAGAGAATTTTTTTAAGTGCTAGTATAGTTATATATATACATAACTTGTCCATATCTCGTCTTGGATCATTCTCTTCGTATACTGTTGAGGATCTAGAGAAACAGACCAAATATAACCCTGGAAACTTTAACATAAGAGGCTAAGTAAACTTGAAGAAGGCTTAAACAGGTCCATAGAGCTGTGACCATGTGGGTGCATGAACTTGCAGTTGGGGCACACAGGAGCTGATTTGCAAAGCATAACCAGCATATGGCACTTCATACACACTGTTGCAACCTTTTCTTGCTTCTTCTTCTTCTGATCATCATCGTCATCCTCACCTTCAAACGCAACCCATGAGGGGCATCGACTTAGACCTAACCCGATGCCACTCTTCTTGTTCGAACTCGTGAAAGTTTCACCTTTCGATGATTTGGTCTCTTCGCGAATTGAAGATCGAAAACCCTCCTTACTTTTTGGCCCAGGTGAAGCAGAAGGCAAAAGGTTCAGCTCAAGGTCAAGGCTCATTTTCGGTCCTCCGTTACTTGCTGACTCTTCCGGGTATGTGCTATGACCTTCAGATGTTCTTGACTGACCCTGCAAACATCAATAAATCATGTTTTCATGCATGTTTGTGGGCATGTACATATGATCATATAGATCAATATGGTTGCAGATACAACTTGCGTACGCTTATATAAGCATACGTACACACCTTGGCCTCTGTGCGTTTCTGCCGGTCGAAAGGTGGAGGTGTGCGGAGTTGGAGCTCAACGTGGAACGGTATTGATCCTCTGTTCTCTGAGTTGGTTCCTTTGTTGAGAAGATTGGTCTGGAGCTTGCCATCATCTTGCTTCCGTTTCTTGAATGAACTGTGGACGTCTGTGATGAATCCCCTCTTTCTCCAACAGAGGGTTCCTTCTTGTAGAGAAACCATCAGCGCTTCTACTGTGTTCAACTCTCTCTCTCTCTGATGTTAGTTGGAAAAGATCAGATAGACTTGATGGAGAGTTTGTGAAGGTGTATATATAGGAAGATCCCCACAAAAGAAGTTATTGTCTCCACCGGTCCTTGTATAAAACAGTAGTAATAATTATGTTTATTCAAACTAAGGATGTACATGCATGGTCCATATAGAATCATAGACAGTATACAATATGATTATTGTAGCAATGGTTTTCCTATTGCGTATTTACATTATAATATATACTTGTAAAATATAGATTTGAAATTATTTTGAATTCATCGAGGAAGAAAAAAGAAAGGGGGGGGGGGGGGGTTGGGTGTGTTCAATAACTGAGGGCAATAGCTCCAAGGAAACTCATTTAAATTCTTAGATGTGAAATTCTAACCAACTCTCTTTCTTTCCATTTTATAGCCTTTTCATCATCATCATCATCATCATCATCATCATCATCATATATGCGTGTATGATGCATATATGTATGCATGTATAGTTATATGTGCAACTTAGAATGTGCACATTAACCCGCCCACTTCCGCTCCTAGCTCTCTCAACCACCACCATCATTATCATCACCTTCATATCATGCATGCAAATATACATATATCTATCACGATTTTCAAGTAAAACCTATCACTCAAATGGGGAATTCAGTTTGGTTTATAGGGCTTGCATGATCTAAGAATTAATCTTTTCAATTTGTTGGGTTTGTGATTAACGCTAAGATAAATTAAAGATTTGTATGAAGAGAGTTGGGGAAATGAAATGCCAATAAATGGAGAGACACTAAAGACGGGTGGAGAGGGAAGAAAGGCTCATGAATGCAACCTTTAACACCCTCATTAACTCCCTCTCCCACTTTTGAATAAATACGCATAAACCCGATCCAAGAAAAAAAATATATTAAATCTTATAATAATAAAAAAGATAATTAAAAAACTTCGTTATTAAAAACCCTTCAACGCCCTCCCACGTCACATGATCTTGAATCTTCTTCTACTCGTCATGTTTATTTTTATGGCTCTGTTCAGATTCCTCATAAATTCCCCTTGTTCATCATCTTATATACGCAATAAACAAATATATGGCTGCGTACACGTACGTATGCCTACGCGTATATATATGTATCCACATGTTAGTGTGTACTACTAAATTCTCAAGATGAAAATTTCTATTGATATCATAATAAATTGGACAAGTTATAATAATAGATTTGGTCCTATATATATAATTATTATAAAATTTTAGTATCATTTTTTGAAAGGCTTTTAAAGCACTCCGACAACATCGTTTCCATGCATGCATCCAGCTAAAATAAAGATTCTAAGTCCCTTGCTTTTAGTATCAGAAATTTTAATTATGAAAATTGGATATATATATATATATATATATACATATATATATATATATATAAATAAAAAAATTGTAATGAAATCTCAAAATAACGAAAAGCCCGCATTTATCGTTTAAAGATACGCGAAATTGTAATGAAATCTCAAAATAACGATTTAATTCATAAAAAAATGAATATTTACGTGGTGAAATGTGATATCTTATTAAGTTTATTTTCTTAGATAAGTAGTACATTTTTTCTGATGAAAGAATTTAATGATCGGTTTGATCATTTCAATCTGACATTAATGTTCAATTCAAGTGTATGCAATAAAGTATCTAACAGCAGAATTTACAAATTGGTGAACCCATAAATTTTGCAATAAATTGATTTTCGGAAAATGAACACGACGCATACAAAATATATATATAACTTATTTATTTATTGCATCTTATATGAAATTTATTTTCCTTCGTATGATGTTTTATTAGTAATTGGATCTATGTATTGATGTTTTAATCAAAATAGTTTATTTCTTGGGGTGGACATTCGATTTTGTATATCTAGATGGAAATATCCACTGTTTCAAATCAGTCGTCAAGATAGTTTTAACCGAAATGAATGGAAAAGAAGAATTCATGCGGTGAACCCCAAATAAACTTGGGATTAAGACGATGTTGTTGTTGTTGTTTGTTTTGTGGGCAAACATATATATATATAATATATATACACATTACAGAAAAAATGCGATGAAAATATTTTTTTCATCGACCACTCATTTTCTAAGCAACTAAATGCATATGGCGATGGGACAATAATTAAGGAATATGCTTCTTATAAGTAGCATCGGATTTGCCCAAAAATTAGGTTTGAGTGTTTTTCATTATCTATTTTGAAAAAAATGCAAAGATTAATGTATATATGTGTGTACATGTATTGAATTAAATTCAAATATTAGTTTATATATATATATATATATATATCGTACGATTCTTAAAACATAAAGAAGAAAGTCAACTATCGGAGGAACATAACTCTCTAGAGACATCGTAACATCCCAAAATTAAAAAAGTTTTATTTTGGTTATAAATTGAACACTTTTTATTGGTGAAATGTTGGTACGTGCATGGATCTTTTTCAAGTTTAAGATATCTTGAGACAAGTTTGTAAATATTAAATACTTAGAGAATGAAATTGAAAATTTAAATTAAATTAAAACCTTGATTTTCCAGATATCTTTAATTTTCTAATTAGAAACGAATCGGGTCGATCCGAACTCACAATCAGTACGATGGTTTAAGATTCAGATTCTGACCAATCCAACTTTTTTTCGATCTAAACAACCAAACCCGAACCCCAACCCTATAGATTTCGGACTCGAGTCAAATCGGGCCGACCCAATTTGAGTGTGTCCCAAAAATCTACATTTTTTCGTGTCGATACATTTAGGTCCGAAACCTTATATTTTTCGGAAGGCTTTCGACCAAAATTGATACTGTCCTTGGCGCGTGTATAAGTATGTATCTGCGTATATATATATATATTTACTGACAATCGGAAACTCCAATAAAGAAAAGACAGTTAATTAGATGAGAAGAAACAACAACAGAATAAATCCAACACAAGAGTGTCCTTCTTGTCTGGATCTAGACAGCAGACACCATGCCCAGAGTTTATTCATGGAGGGGGAAAAAAAACTAGGGGAAGAAGAAAACAACAACAAGATTGGAAATTACAGACTCATAACAAGAGAGAGAGATGAGCCTTTCACTTGTTCAAGAGATTCCTCGAGAAAATCCTCTTGCAGTAGGGATTGTTGCGCAGAATCGAATGAGGCATTATCACTTCCACGAGCGAAGCATAGAGTGGACCCTGTTACCAGTTCCCAGAAAACATTGCAGAAAATCCCGGCATGATCTCATGGAGGGTTTGCGTATATGTGTATGTAACGATGTGGGCAGAGGTAAAAATCGCACCTTGGTGACGGAAAGAGCGGATTGGATGACGAAATTGGCGAAAGGGTCCTGAAGAAGCTGGTCGAAGTGAAGAACAGAGACGAGCTCACGTACGATCTGAGGACGGGTCTCCGGGTAATATGTGAGGCATCTCTCCACCACATGGCTGCTGAACTTCTGCATCGACAGCTGAACGTAATGCCCTTTGAACTGAGCTAGCATCATCGCCATGGCCGAAGGAGACCTCAGGTCTATCACGTACTGGACAGCATAGTTCCTGCAATATACATATCCATCGAGAAAAAGAAAGTGTATAGATTGATTCCACGTTGATCAATGCATTTCAGAGGTTTTTCACTCGTAAAGGTCGGAGCTTTTTGTTTTATGATACCCGAAAGGGTCTTGGGCGAGGAGGAGGCTGTTTCTGGATATTTCGGCGACGAGCTTCTCTCTCTGCTGTCCCATGGAATGAGCGATGCACTTTTGCAGTACACAGCAGCCGTGCCTATGGGTTGCGATATCGGCGCTGAACTTAGTGGCAGCATCGAAGATGAACTGCAAGACAGAGGAAGGATCGATTACGGGTGTGGTTTCACAAATCAAAAACCTCGAAATCTGGTCTTAGAGAGCTCAAAATCAGTAGTTGGAGTGAAAGAAGAGGGCTTTGAACCTTGCAATCTTCTGCACTAAGGCACTGCAAACAGCGTTGAATCACGTGGTTTCCGTTTAAATCCTTTATGAGATCGAGAAAACCGGGTCTCAGAGCCGCTTTCACCAGCGAGATCTGCTTCCTGGTTCTGATTGTTTCGACTAATCTCTGGACAACCCTTGTACTAAAACCCAAAACAAAAACCAGACAGCTAATTCAGACACGAGACAAAAGAAGCCGAAAACGATCTATCGATTACTTAAAGAAGTGAAGGATCTTTACCCGTAAGCGTTCAACGATATCCTGATAAGCTGCCCGGGCTCTGCAGTCGCGACAAGGATGATCTCGGTCCTCTGTTCTTCAGTACAGACATCCAACAGTTTCTGCATCAGGTAATTTCCAAAAGGGTCCATCATAAGCTCGACGACATGATCAATAACCTCGTTGAATATGGCCGTGGCATCTATGGCACTTCCCTCGGCAAAGACCCACTGCAAGAATCGGCAACCGTGCTGGTCTTTAGCCATCAAGTATACATAACCCTGGATTTCAGAGACATTAAGCAGACATGGGCGAGTGTCTGTGTTTCCGATGCCCCTTCTCCTATGATCCAATGGCGGAATTTTGTAACTGTCGACGCCATAGTTCAAGCTTTTACCTTGCAAGAGTAAACTATCCTCAAAACTAAACCTTTCTACACCTTTAGCTGAAACCATGGACTGAGGGACTCGATTGGTTGGAAATCCGACAGTGTCTTGGCAGAACAATGGGGACAAGTCCGTTCCTCTGCAACTCACGTTGTAAGAAAAACCCGGCTTCGCCATCTGTCGAGAAGGGCATGAGTTCGAAGCACACCTGAACATGCCCAGTTGCTGAGAATTGGCAAACAAATCGGCTCTATAAGGACTACTGTATGGCCTCTGCAGAGGAACAGCGCTCATGCCAAAGATGTTTCTTTTGACACTGTTTCTCTGGTCCGATCCAGAGCTGCTCCGATTGTATCGACCAGCGTTCAGCCATGGATCATATGAAATTTTATGATCAATACCAGTGGAACCCTTTTGATTATAGAACAATGCAGATTTATCAACGCCATAAGCGGAGGAAACTCCATACGGAAAGCCTCCGGGACCAAATCCACCATTGTTGAATCCATTAAGCTTTTCGCATTTTCCAAGGCTGTAGAATGGGATTCCAGTGAATTCAGCGTGATCGTTCTCAGGAATGGACCCAAGAACATCTGTGCGATTCTCGGTTCGTCCATTAGAACCCTTCTCTCCTTCTTCTTCATCATCCTCATCGTCGTCCCTGATGTTCATCAGATAGAGATTTTCCCACAGACCCAGATCCTCCTCATTGATACTCTTCACATCCTTATGAAACAGTGAAACCGGTGAAGCGTGGCAGTACTTTGCCGTCGGATCAAACAGAGGAGGAGCGAACGGAGAACCATCGGAGGAGCATAACCCATTAGAGAAGGAGATAGAGTGATCCGACGACGATCGGAAAGAGACACTGCTCGAAGACGATTCTCCGCAGAAGTTTTGAGGAAAAAAATGGAGGTTGGAAGAATGTGACGAGGTTCTGAGGATCTCCATTAATGGAGGAGAACGGGAAGGAGAGGAAGCAGAGGAAAACTCATTTTTCATCATCATGGCGGTGTTCCTTCTCTCTCTCGTCTTCCACAGCCGTTTCGAGGACCCCGACACAAACAGAGGAGAGAGATCGAAATTTCAACAGATCAAACCAAAACCCACATCACAATTCTGCAGAAGAAAAACATGGGTTCGAGAAAACAGAAACGATAAAACGTGAGAAAAGAAGGAAAATGACGATGTTCGTTGATTAAGGTTTGCTCCATTTCAATGGCGGTTCTATGGAGTTTTCAAATCACAAGCTGATCGGAGACTGAAGAGAGTGATAGAAGAGAAAGAAAGGGGCTAGGGTTCTTCTACGTACCGCCATGATTCCGGAAGGAGAGACCGTACAGTCGTCGTCTTGTTTCTAGTTCACGCCATTAAAACGAAGGCTCGAAATCGCACACAAGGAAAGCGAGAGAGAGAGAGCCACTTTGGAGGAGTGTTGTGTGTTTTTTCTGTTTCATTTTTTTTTTGGTATAAAAGCTTTTTTTTTTACAAATGAAATAATTCGAAGAAAAATAGTTTCCACTTTAAGTAATTCAGATGGGAAAAGGGTAATTTAATAATTTTGCATTAAAAGACGGCAAATAAAGATGCTTGATTATCTCATTCTACGTTTTGATCGGTTTCGGATATAGACCAAATCTCTCGGGATTCGGATTTCCGTTAGGCTTTGAATCAGTGAAATCGGATGAATAACAAACATATCAGAATTCTGTGTTCTGTCTGTTCCAAAATATCCGGAAACTACATTCTCCGTAGATTCTCCTCCACAACCGTACAAAGGAACCGTACAACGTTATTTGAAAACCAGAAAAGATGATAGAAGAATATTTTCGTACCAAAAAAATATATTTCTTTTTATCTAAAATTCCAATTTTATCGTTATAAAACAACCGAAAAATAATCAATTTATTAATGTATATATTTCGTGATATTTAAAAAAACATTATTCGAAAAATGTATGTATCTAGAAGTGAAAATCGTGGGTTCTTCCATCGATTATTTTCCTACTCGTATATATTAATAATACAAAATACACAATTACTATGATGAAATTGAAACCAACAGATCAGTAAACTCGGAAGTGGTAAAAAGACTTTAATTGCTAAATTTGGGCGGACAGTGAAAAAGATGGCTTGTGAGCCAAGAAACGAGTCACATTCACATAAATTGATAAATTAAACACATAAAATATGCTTCAAACATATGCAATAAAAACTAATAATTTTTTTCACAAACTAATCATAACAAGTATATGTATAGAAACACATTCACTGAGCATGCTTTTAAAAAAATATGTAAAGTAATGGTAGTTTTTAAAATTTAATTTCAACTAAATTTCTTTAATTGCAATAAAAAAAAAAGAGTGTTGTAGTGACTGACCAATCCCCAAATGCCAAGTGTACAGGCTCTCGGTGTATTATTACAAAATATACAAACCGGTCCAAAAACGTGACACGTGGAAAAGAAAAAGCCCACTACCAGGCCCAATTATTGGCCCATTAACTAAAACGAGTTCATCTCCAGTACATTCCTTCTACACTTCAGCAGCGCCGCAACTGCCTCCCCGTACATGCTTTCTCCGCCGTTGTCTCCGGCGAACGCCGATGTTGCCAGCTCAGCATCTCCGGCGACCTCTGCTGTGTAGGCCCCACTCGGCCGTACCACCACCAGCGTCGCGCCCTCGAGGCATATGCCGCTCTTCAGCCTCAGCGACGGCGCGTGCCTCATACTCATCCTCACGCTCGGCACCACTGTACGGCCTCTCTCCTCGTCCCCCAAGCGTTCTGCGCCGTCGTCACCTCCACGCGCCGCCGCTGCGTACTCTCTAATCCCTTCCGCGTCCATCACCACCGTCCCTTCCCCTTCGGTGTCTCTCAGAACGACATACTCCATCCCCTTGTGCTCCTTCGCCACTTCCCTCACCAGGAAGTGACGCGCCGACGCCGCCATCAACGCGCTTATCGTCCACACCACGCGCGTCTTCAGCCCGCTCACGAACTCCGCATCCGACTCCGCCGCCGTCACTCCGCCGTCTACATCGCCGGTATATTCCGTCGAAACCGTGACGGATCGGAAAGCGACGATGACGCAGCTCCTGAGAGTCTTCCCGAACTCCGCTTTCCATCTGACGGCGGCACCTTTCTCGAGCTTGATGTCGCCGCCGGGTAACACCATCTCCAGATTCCGGATCCGGTCGAACCCGGATAAGATCTGGGCTGGATTCTTCGGGGGCCGGGTTGGGTTCGCGTGTCTGGGGAAGAGGGACTTGAAGAGAGACCGGAAGAATCCAATGACGGGGGAGTCGAACTCGGTGTCGGACTCGGGATCGAGTCGAAGGACTAGAGACTCGGACTGAGGGACGAACGAGTTGAACCGCTTCGACACGGAACGGCACCGTACCAGAGTCTTCACATCATCGACTTTGTTCAATATTTCTGAAACCAGAGGATCCGGGAGATGATCAAAGACGTCCATCGAGTTTTTTTTTTTTTTTTTTTTTTTGTGAATTTGGATAATCCGTTTGATAATTTTTTTAAAAGAAAAATGCATGGCTAAATAGGCAAAGGGAAAAGACCGGTTACCGGCAACATGGGCCCACAATGCCGCCTTTTTATTATATTTAAATAAATAAAAATTAAATTAAACGATTATGATTTTTTGGTATGCTATGCACAGCGGCACCATCCTTAATCGACGGTCCAGCTGCTTTATTATAGTTTAATTTTATTTAAAATTAATCTTTAGCTTCATTTTTTTAATCTGAATTCTTAAATGATAGTTAATCATATTTTCATGTTTTGGACACTTGCTGCAGGGTCAAAGGTTGTTTTTAACTTCAACTAAATATATACAATAAATCTATAGTTTTACTGGTGATTTTCATTTAGTAATGTTTTCCTAATCGCGATTAGCAATTTTTAAAAAAATCAATTTTTACCAAAAACGAAATTTCATATAGCACACAACCCGTTTTCTTCGAAATTCGCATGAAGCAAAGTAGCACACAGTGCGATTTCCAATATTTTATATATTTTCCTTTTATTTTCTCTTTGATTTAGTCACATATATATATATATATATATATATATATTATAAGCATCTAATATTTTTTTATTCAATTAGAATTAGTCTTAATATTATTGTATTCTTTTCCTAAATCTCTCCCTAATAAATTTTGTTATATATAATAGCTATATATTATTGAAATCGACTCCATGATAACACCACTCTTGTCATTAATTTTAAATTTTGCTTTCACATGATTTCGTCACTCTATTAAATTTATATTTCGATTTTTTTTTATATTTATGTATTCTTTTCTATAGGCAGAACTGATCCATAGAATATAAAAAGAAAGATTCTTTCAAGTAGAGAATAAACCAACGAACTTAAAAATTAAAGGGTTTTTACGATGTATTTTTTTAATTAGCTAGCATATGGTATACGCGTTACTAGGAAAATCACACATTATTTTATACGTATTTTAAATTTGATTCCGTATTAAAAAAATCCAAACAAAGAATATCTATCTATGGGGTTCTCTAAAATACTAAGAAGATTTCTCGAATATTTAATAGTTAATAATTATTTAGAGAAAGTGGGTTAGGGTATTATACGATTATTAATTCCCGTACAACTCACCGGTGATGATACGACTAGACAACATTATTATTATTATTATTATTATTATTATTATTATTATTATTATTATTATTATTATTATTATTATTATTATTATTATTATTATTATTATTATTATTATTTGTGTGACTAACAATAGATTATAGATCCACTCGGGGAATGATAGATTAAGACGGTTTTAATCATTGCTTATTTATTATTATAATGTTATTGCAAATTTATATATTCTTTGATAAAGACAAGCAACTGAACCCGATTATAAAAATGATACGTAATTAAATGATATGAGAATATCCTACCAAATATATTTATATTATTTTCGACTCTTGATTTTATAACAAAAATAATTTTTTTATATATAATCAGTATGGTTTCCCGAATCGTCACCTCGATTACATCTACCTAGACTCGCACCAGCCTAAAAAAAATGATTTGTGTGATTATTATACTTCACATTCTCCTTATATACATACATGTATTTCGTCTGCGGACGTTTGTATATAACTGTTATAATAAAACAAGAAAATATATTATCTGTATCATTGAAGTTTTCTGAAATTACTAAATAAACACGTAATATAACTAATATCCTCTAAATCACAAACTTCAAATTTTGTGAAAACGAACGCTTTTCAAACCTATTGAATATTAAATATCTGCAAAATTATTTTAATTAAAGTGGCATTTAAAATTTATAAACTACAGAATGTTAGATATGATCATGTGTTTTTTATTTCGTAGAATTCTATAGATATATATAGAGTTTTTAATTCAAATTAAAAAGCAAAAGGTTTACGAATAAGATTTATTGATAAGAGACATAATTAATTTAGAGATAAAAGAGTAAAAATTTAATAGCCCACTGGGCAAAGAAGTTGTTTAAGGGCATTTATTTATATTTAAATTATATAAGCCCATAATGCGTCAGTCCATGGGCTCTTTATATTATTAGCCCGTTGAGTAAACCACAAGACCTTATGCAAATATTTATGATTATAAATCCACACCTAATCTCTGTTGAGTTCATGAGATTATTTAAATGTTGTTTCCCACTTTTAATAGATTAAAAAGATATTTATGATACAGAATTTCAAATTTTTAGGTTAATAATATCATGTCATTTTACGGCTTATATATTTCAGAATATTTTCACGTCTTTTTTTTATATAGCATTGCTAATTATTCAATTTAATATCATTCTGATTTTTAATACATTTGCATGGTTAGTTAGAACCTAAGACGCTCCTATCGTGCAACATAACATAAAATAATATCATTACATTCTCATTTATACGAGGGAAAATCAACCAACCCTATACGCCTAATATATATATATATATATATATCTTATCTATTCCAAAATGATATTTTCAATCATGCTATTAGTGATCTTTTTATGACGATTAAACAGAAACGGTGTATGGTGTCAAAAGTATTATCACCATGTTATTTCATATTTATTGAATTTTTATTAATGTGTTTTCTCCATTAAATAAGTTTTATTATTTACCGGGTTTCGTTTTAGAACCAAATACAATATTAAGTTATCCAAATATATTTAAAATCGGTGTACATAATTTAATTTTTTTATAAAAACACCCGAATGAATTATAAATAAGCAAAAAGAAGCACAAGGAATTCAAAGAAGTTACAGAATTGAGATAAATAAAAATAGAAAAAAAAATATAAGTTATTTAGTATTTACTTTAAAAAGTATATGGTAGAGTGTCAGTCCAAAGGAAATAATAATTACGACCATAATAAATCTGTCTCCCAATCCAAGGTCACTCACTGAGCACGTGCTCCAAAATCATAATGATCCAATGAAAATTAAAATTATTTTAAATATTATTGTTTTTTTAATTGATAATACAAAATTTTACCAAAAGCCAAAACCTATATAACATGGGAGAGGGGGACACGTGTGAATAGAGGTTGCTGAATTATTGACTAATTAATGTAATTAACAAATAAATGATAGTCTGATTAAAGGTGGCCTAATTAATACATAATTATAGTCAGTGTTTATTCTCTAATTGGTCCCTTAAAGCTTCCACATCACGGGGGGTTTAAGCTGTAATCACAAGAATAATTATAATTATGCAGCCTACGTAATCTTCTTTATGTATTAATTAGGAATCGCTTTCTCTTCCTCCATTTGTTTTCTACTCATTTGAAAGAGTTAGAAACAAAATAAATCAAAACCAAAAAATATATATAATCAAATAACATACCTTTTTAATATTTTAAAACTATATTATAACAGAGAATTTTAAATCACTTTGATCCTATCATTGAAAGATGCTAATAGAAATACATTAGAAGTTTAAATTTAGATTATAAATTTTACTTTTGATACCATAACAAATTATAAAACAATTATCTTTAATTACATTTTCTTTGAAGTTCTTACTAAAAATTATGAGCACATACCATCATATCTTAGTTTGGATAATAATAATAATAATAATAATAATAATAATAATAATGAATTATAGGGATAGATACAGAGGATGTAGATATGAGGTCCATTGTTCATTTCACCATTCTATTTGGTCAGTCGGTGACAGCTGTCACCCAAAAATAACTTATGTTGCTGTCTTTTCCTTATTTCCCTTCGCAGTTGATGCATTCGTTAATATTTAATACAATAGACTCGACCTCCTTTTATTAAATAAAATTATAATATAATTTATCTGTTATTTTTATCAAATACAATACAAACGAATCTCGTTTAACAGGTATTTGTATACATACTTAATGAATATTAAATCGCTATATACGCATACATGAAAATCTTTGACCAAAAGTTCCAAATTTTTTGATAAAGTTTTTAGGATTTTAAATTTTTTTACTTATAATATATCTCATTTTAATTGTATTATCAGCTTCACAAATAAAGTTCACAAATAGTTGTATTTATATATCTTAATTCAATGTTTCCTCTCCTAAATAGAGTAATAATTAAAGATAAACATAATATGTTACCCAAATACACAAGATCAGTTTTCAACCCAAATTCGAATTTCCCTTCAGTGAAAGATATTTACTTGGATTTCTATCATCCTTTCCGATTTATAATTGGGCCAATTTTAGAATTCTAAAAAATATATATACCACCCAAAATAAACATTGATGTATGGCAATGTCCGTGATACCAATTATTGGAGGATATATCACCATTAGTTTATTCCATGTCGAGGGCACCAATGATATAATTTTTTTTATAATTCGGAAGTTCATCGGAACTTTGATCCGACTACATTTCCCAGAGGACCGAAGAAATCCAGGTAAATGCCTTCTCCACGCTTGGGTTTGAACTTATGGTGAGAACATGTTTTGCAGGTGAGAGCATATTTTGCATGTTCTCTCACCAATATACCACCCAAACTTGAGTATGATATAATTATATATATATATATATATATATATGATATAATTTCTTTATATACATACATACATATATATAGAGAGAGAGAGGGAGAGATAGAGAGACGTATACAAACAGTTTTGAACATCTACATACATCTTATAATGACTTTAATATCTTTACACGTATCAATTTATGTTTTCTCTTGGTATGGAAGCATGTTGGTTGTCCCACTGAAAGTTCAAATATATCTAACAAAAAAGGGTTTATATGTAAAAATATAAAATTATTGAAGATACTAACAACATTATATTATGTTTTTCTATATTGTTTTTTTTTTTCACTTTAAGTGGATTCCAACTCCTCATTCAACCTAAGTAACGTTACTTTATAGTGGGTGTTTCTTTCCATAACCTAACATTCTGAGATTAACTTATTAATAGATTATGCGAATAAATAATATAAACCAATTATTACTGTATTAAATATGCAAAACTTATATTAAAGTCTGAGTA